TTGCTAAGGGTTAAAATTTTATATGCAGGTTTAGTATAACTGCTTAGATTGTTGTTACCCTGACAGCTGCATACATCAAGATCCAACTGCACATTCATTAAAAATTGGCATAAAACGAAATGGAACTTCAAAACTCAAGTATTATAAATATAAACTATTTTTGCTTAAATTAAGTTCAGTGAAATATTTAGATTGATCATTTACATACTGACATTAATAAATGTATGTTTATATGTATTGTAATGGGTTGGATTGGTGTTTATCTGTGTGCTGATGTAAATCTTTAATTTTTCAGGGAGAGGATTTTAATAGAATGCTGTGGTTTCAAAATTTACTTAGTTTTACCAATGGCATATATTGCTGTCGACAATGAACAGTTATTGCAGTTATCGTATTGGCAACAAATCCGTATCTATTCAGCTGGTATCTGGCATAATATTGTTTTATCCATATTCGCCATTCTTCTTCTTGTCTCCAATACTATTTTACTGGCTCCAGTATTTCAGAAAGGAAATGGACTTACTGTTCTTCATGTTGAGCAGGTAATTGTGGCTCTGCATAAGTGTATTTTTTCTTTTTTAACATGAACAAATTAATAAACATTAATAATTTTCTCTGTCATTGTATAGTATTACACTATGTAGTGACAAGATTCACATAATATATGTTAATATCCAACTCAAATGATGAAGGGTAATAAAGGTAAGTTTTTATTTTTAGCTGTATTTTATGAAATTAAATCTAAGTTGTAATCCTTTTTCACGAAGAGATATTTAAACATCAAAATGTGAAACCATTATAAACATACAGGAGACATGTAGTTGGCTTTATTGCTGTCAGCTTTCTTGAATCATGCATTTAGTGAAAGCTGGTGTTTGCTTTGAGGTTTAGGTGAAATTTATAAATGACTGTTTTAAATTATACTGGATTCTGTTAAAATTACATTGCCATGAGAACGGAAGATACCTTAGATATTCATTTTAGATTCCTTATGTATGAAAGCATTAAAATTTCAAGTATGTAAATTTAAAACTTTTAATGAAGATGACATCATTCAAGTTTCAGGTGCATTGAGAAAACAGAATGTGCTATGATCAGCAGAGAATATAGCCACCATCAACAACAGTGAGCACTGCTGTACGGCACTGGTTCTTAACCTAAAGTTTAAGGAAGTATTTTCATGGATGCGAAGGAAGTTTTTAAATTTTCAGTGGAATTATGCCTACTACATTTTCCTCTTGCTTTTTTGAATGACCAATGAGGCAAGTCACGCTTTGGCAGAAATATGGTTCAGAGTACAAGATCCAGAATTGTCAAGACTTGCAATTTTGAATTTTAGGTCATCAGTTTAAGTCTAGTAAAATGGTACGTAGACATGGCAGCATTGGGACTTCACTTATTGTTTAGGTCAGCGGTGCTGACCCTCCAGCACCAGTCCAACCACACTGGCAAAAGTTTTAGAATGTATAGGAGCCTGAACAGCAAAATTAGGGATTGCAAAATTTTTGGAGTTTCAGCGAGACATGTGGCAGCAAATTTTTTAGAAATTAGAAAGATACCAGTCAGTAGAATACCCACAGAAATTGCACTGGGGGGGGAGCAAAATGCTTATTGTTAGCTCTGTCCCCTCCCTTCCCCACAAAGATTGAAGAACCAGAAGTCTGGTTCTTGCCAATATCAGTATGTCCATCACTGTATTGTTATTGGCCACTATGGGATTCCCTACTCAACAGGTGTTTGGAACCGACATGCATTAATCTCATTTGGAAGAAAAATCACATTAATGGCACACCTGCTTCCTTTTGTTGAGTGTTATAATCTTTATTTATAGATTTTGTAAAGAGGGGAAATTTTTTAATTACTTTATTTATTCATTTATTTTTTGGCTGGTGGTCCAGAGTTCTGGATATCAGATCATGCTGAATTTCGGACTTTCCACTGTATGTCTATTGTTTCTGATTGTTCTTGTTAGAATCCTGTGTTATTTGAGTATTATGTGTTGCAAATTCTGGAAAGCCGCTCATACATTTTGTGGTTTGCAGTAATTTTCCTTATATATTTGTAGAAACAGAATTCTTTTCTTTTTGCTTTATTTACTGCTTTATCCGAGGTTCGAATCCCTCGAACGGGCTGGCTGCGTGGGTGTTTTCGTGGTTTTCTCCATGTGTAACCTGGTATACGAACCAGTTTCACCTAGAAAGTCCTCCACGAAGGCATCCCTCCCCCCTTAGGCAGATAGCCCTCGAGGCTTTGCTGTAATTAAATAACCTATTTACTGCTTTATCTCCTGTAGGCAGACAGAATTTATTTTTATTCCTTCTTAGTCTGTTCTGATTTAGAACTGAATCTTGCTTGAATTTTGTTTTGTGAAGTAAACAGAAGCAATCAATTGATTGCATAAAGGTTTTTGCAAATTTTGAAAAGTTATAATTATTGATTGTAATAACTCTCATTCTGTGAAAAAATAACAATGAAAGTGCAATTATATTACATATAGATTCATGGTACAACAGAATTAAATCATATTCTCTGAGCTCACTGCATTACACTGTGTTGCAAAATACTGTACTATATCAAAGTTGTTTGTAGTACATTTTAACAATCACAGGGTGCCACATTACTTGGAAAACCAGAAAAAGACAGGAAATTCAAAAATTTACCAAAAAAATGGGGACATTAAATATTTCAGTCAAAATCTGGAAAAGTCAGGGAATTTCATATGGCTATCCTCCCAAAAAGCAAGTTTTGCACTAACGTTGGAAGCAATCACTTTCTTGGCGAATTATCTATCGCGTAAGCATCATTTGACCAGCTGGCATAGAGCCAATTTTTGCAGCTCCAGTTAAATTGTGTTTTAGAAAGGCAATGCAAGTTTCTAGCAACTTTGTAATGCTGTACTCTTTTTGGGAGCCTGCCTGAATCCGCACCACAGAAATCATTCCATGCATCTACGGGAGAAGCAACATTTCTTGAATAAGCTGTATTACCTGGAAGCTTGCTAATTATATTCCTTGAAGGTTTCCTAACATTTTGCCAGTATTTTTTCTCCTGCCATTTGTACTTTATCTTAACAATTAAAAACGGTTGTTGACAATGCTTCCATATTCTGTTTCTATCTCAATTTTGTATTGGGGAATAAATTGTTACAGTTTCAGTCCTTCTTCAGAGTTAACTCCACCATCAGATATAGGTTTGTCATCACTAGAAACAGTCTCGATAAGGTGTTGAAAATATTTATTTTCTTCATTGTAATTCAAATAGTGTGTCATAATTCACTAAGCTGACAGAAAAAAAGGAAAGATCTGACTGACGCAAGGACTAGAATGGGTATGACATACCCCCAACACCTGTATCTCAAAATCTATTTTTAGGGCTCAACTAGTTTGCTGAAAGAATGTGACTTACAGCTACATGAAATTCTGGCTTAATCAGATAAGAATAAAGTAACAAAAACCTTGAATGAAAATGGATCGGTCATGCCATACCCAGTCCCTAGTCCCCAGTCCCCAGTGGCCCTAATGGTTAAAGTCCCCCTAGTGGCCACAGTTGAATAAATCAAAATGAAACTCAAGGTATAAGGGTTAGCAAGTATGTGCTAAAGAGTAATGTGAAAAAACAGCATTCAAACTCTCATGATGATGATTACAGCAAATAAGTTTTAAAACTTTCTTATAACAATACCTATTTCTTCAGATCATAATGTGATTAACATAGTACAAAAACAGCAAATAACATTAGAATAATACCTGTAGTTAATAAAATGCTTGCATACTAGCATTGGAAAAGAAAGATCATATGCAGGCATGTAAGCTCTGCTAATTTTTATGACAGTACATAAACATAAACATACAGTGCAGAAAATAAACAGGTAATAAATAGTCATAAAACAGGTAATAATAGTCCAAGCTAGTATCATCTTTTGTGATTTGTCTGTTCAATGGTAGTCACTTGGGTTGTGTGATTGGTGCCTATGATTTTATGCAACAAACATGCAATTTTCTTGCAGTGCTGCAAATTATGTGTGTCGACAGTATTGCATATCGCCTTCTGTTGTGTGTCATTCCCATTCTTCCTCTTTACCAAAACTCTTGCATTGCCATTTTTTAAAGCACCATTAAATTACATTTTTCATTCTGATGATGGCATTAACCGCTTCCCTTACAAATTTTTTTTTGAAAAAAATTGCAAAAAATCATCACATTTTTTTATTTTATTATTAAATACAACAAAACGAAACAAATCAAAATATGTAGATTTTAAGTTGAATTTTAATTTTTGAAGGTGTAAAAGCATTTATTTTTAATATTGTTTACTATCCCGAGTTATCTCGGCAACGAAAAAAAAGTTAAGTATTAATCTTTGTGTGATAGTTTTTTGAAATAAGGGACAACACAGATGATACTTGACGTTCTACATGGTATCTGGTCTTTTTTATTGGATATCGCTGAATCTCTTTCCAGGAGCACAGAGTACACTGTTCGTTGGATTTTTTATTTTTTTATTTTTTTTATTTATTTATTTATTTTTTATTTTTTTCCCCACCTTTTCATACTCACTATCTGAAAAATCATCGCTTTTGCTATCTTTCATTATCGCCATTATTTTATTTTTTTCCAACGCATGCATCCTTCTTTATACATTACTAATCCACAAGCCAACGTATACTATACAATAGGGAAACACGTGACCAGTCCCTCCAAAAGAACCCCGCAACCAACAAAATTTGGCAAACTGCCAATCAAAGCTAAATATTTCCTTCCATTTCCTCCAGCCGAGTAAAACCGTTATAAAAGAAATCATACTAACAAATTCTGCTTCATCCGAGTTTTCTCGGGATAATAATTAACTGCAATATTTACGAACTCGAGATAACTCGGGATAATCAGGCAAGCAGTTAAAATGCTAGAAAATTAAGTGTTGGTATCAGAGATTTGTGGCTTTGGCAACTAATGTTGAAAACTAAATTATGATTAGAAACAGCATGAATTGTAAACAAAGAGCTAAGTTTATTGCTTTTTATTTTCCAGCTATCGAAATGCAACGCTACTAGAATAGCAACGTTTGGAAACAAAAACCTCGCAATCAGAACTAGTTGCCATTCAGCATAAAGAAATTTAAATATAAATATGAACTACTTGTTGCCATTCAGCATAAAAAATATAAAAATGAATAATTAAAAATATTAAAAATTAATTTTATAAAATAATTAAACCAATGAACAAATATATAGATAAAAAAATAATTATTTCTCTTGCAATAACTAGGCCACTACAGATTTTTAAAATTTAATTGCTGTTATAATTCTAAGAGCTGTGTTGTTGTTATCCACATCATTCCCAATATCAGTCTTTGTAACCCTTACATCTTGAATTACACTTGGACTCATTTAACCTTGCTGTCATTAAGGCTGAAAAGTTATTTTATAGCCATCCTGTACTTTTCACTCAATTGTTCCCAGAAAGGACTATATGTAAATATTTCAATGTGAAATCTCTTGATCTCACTTTTTGTTTTACTTCATGATTGTAGTACAATCATTTAAGAAGAATGTTGGTCTGAGTAGCTCAGAAGCTGGGTGAAATTTGCCTTGTTTTCTATGCAGTGAGTTGCATTCCTTATTTTTCAGATGCTTTTGAAAGCAAGTTTGAGAAGTAGATATAATCTGCGTTATTGTGGCCATTTATTTCATTGTGTGTTTATTAGACTGTTAGCTAGATAGAATTTCTGCATTTTTAATAAACTGTTAGCTAACTGAGAAGCAGACAACACTAAAATCCCAAATGAACTGGTTGTTTGGCAATAGGTTTAGATCAGCTAATTTTCTAAGTTGGTGGATTTTGCTTTGCTGAACATTTGGTATTAAAGATGAAAAATTATTCATATGTTTTTCCTTGAATGAGTATGTATGAATAGAAATGTTTCAGGTTGTGCTGAGAATAATGCTAGTTAATATTTATTATTCAGTTTTTAACTAATCAGTGCATTTAAATTACCAAATAAGTGTTATCAGTTTGTTTCTTATGTGTTGAACAGATGTTTTAGTTATCTTTATGCATAAACATTCATGAATCTTTCCTGCTCATATTTTAGCTACAAATTAATTTCAAGGTCTAGGTTAAGATTTGCCTCTCCCCTTTGCATGTATGTTTTCAAGTATGTTATTAATGCAAATTTCATCTATGTACTTCTATAAAGTACAAACCACTAAACACTAAATATATGTTCTGGGTTCAATTTGCAGGAGTAGGATAGGTTTGCTACTTTTCTTTTCATGCTTAAAGCAGCTTTGAGGAGATCCCTTTCTAGGTGGGTAACGTTTGAAAATTACAGTATAAAGTCCGTAATCCGGAATGATCTACAATCTGGACCTCAAAGCCACAAAAGTTTTTTTTTTTTTTTTTTTTTTTTTTTTTTTTTTTTTTTTATCCTTTACGCATGCGTGTAAAGAATGCACATACATTGCGCACCCTATACTTCCACAGTTGTAACACCTTGGTTCTTTACTCTTATTAGGTATAGCGCTGCTTTAGTTTGTGTGTTAGTACTTGAATAACCCTTATTATTCGTATCTGGAACGTGGATTTTCTCATAAATTTTTAATTTCTCTGTGAATTCAGAAATAGTTTTACACCCATACAAAATAATTTTGTTACTACTCTTATCGGATATCCCATTGATTACATAATCAAGAATTGATGAATCATCAACAGAAATGCGACTGGCTATTTCACACTTGGCAATTAAATATTCAGAAAGGGATTCACCAGGTTTTAAGTGTCGTTTAAGTCCAGACATAGTCTAAATGAACCGCATTTTTTTTCTACTTAGCACGATATTACATGCGTAATCAGAACATCTTGGCTTAATGATTTGTTTCTCTAACCATTCCGAAATCTGTTTATCAATTTCACGCTGCTCTTGGGGGGGGGGGACGTCTCGGCGCGCAATGAACTGGAAGTTGATCTGTCAGCACTATCCTCATCTTCAGGGTAGATGTTTTTATTTTATTCGGCTTATAATTCCTTGCTAAGTGTAGTATTTCATCTCGATGTACTCATCTTTGATATAATTTAAATAAATTTCCTTGTCATTATAAATATCACGAATACACATCAAATAGTTTTCTGGTTGCAATTTTCTAATTTCGACTATGCTTAATGTATTCTTTATGCATGCGCGCATTGAAAGAAGTGTTTAATAAAGTAAACAAATAAATATTAAGCTTTTTTTTTGTAAAATTTGATTCCCTTTAAATCGTTATTGCTCTTTATTTCATAAGTTATGGTTTCATATTTTTAATTGTATAATTTCTGCATGCCATTTTACCAGATTTTAATTGATTATCTATAATTCAGAAAAACCCCTAATCCGGAATCGCTGAAGTCCCGACGAGTCCGGATTACGGACTTTGTACTGTATACTATAAGTTATGCACTGTTTCAGTGAGACACTTCTCTGTGAAGAAATTTTAATGCGTATTTTCAACTTCATGCTAATTTTGGTTTCCGTGACTATTTTGATTAGTGTTTTATATGTAATTTATATGACTTTTATGACAAAAATTGCAAAAGTAAAGGCTACATAACACAGCACTTTTTCCACTTGTTTGAATGGAGCTACTGGTAGGTAAATGGAGAATGTAATTTCAATAAAAGTTCCATAACCAAATTTACTAAAATTGATCTCCTTTTGCTTAAAATTTGCTTACATTTCAATTTAACTAAAGTTGAAGTATAATTGAAGCTTTTATATCAATTTACTGATAAATATGGTTCACTGTTAATGATGGCTATATATTTGATCATCAAGGAAATAATTGTGTTAAATTTTTTATGTTGCATTTTTCTAGTTTTATTAGTGTCAATATGTTGAAAACTGACATCTCTTTAAGAGATATGTAGTGAATACTCTGATCTGTTCTCAGCATTCAAGTGCATCACAGCCAGCTGGATTTTCAAAAGGGGATCAGATTTTATCCATAAATAATTGTATATTGTATGACGCTGAATCTTGGAGTAAATGCTTACAGATACTAAATTACTCTCCTCAACAAGGTTTTTGTGCTTTAGATGATTTCATTTTACAAGAAAATTCAGCACTTGAAGGTACCTTTTTTTCACTATTTTTAATATTCTCATAACATTATTTAATGTTACAGTATCATTGTATTCATATCTGTTGCAGGTAGCAAAAGTTTGAACTGCTGTGGTAGTGATTCTCGTCGTCTGTGTTTTCAATACCTAAATTCAAAGGTTACTGTTTGCTTATTTATTAAGTAGTTATAACTAAATTTTCATATTAGTTTGATATTAAGGAACTTTTAGTCACGCTCTTTGTGTGTGTTTCTTTATTTGTCTTTGAAGCAGAAATTGTATCTTGTAACTTTTTATATAAAATAAGTTAAGTTTTACCTCAGTTGGAGTGTTTTTAACTAATTTTGTGTGAAATATTTAAATAGTTCTTATATAAATCTTGGGTTTTTTTTATTGGTTAAGTTATTAATTTTAATGCATTTCAGTATTTAATAGAAAATGGTTTTTATTGCTTAGTCTGAATCAGTTTTAAAGTAGCATAATGTACTGTTCATATTTTTCATGAAGTGAGATTTTACTGAATTCAACTTTATTTCAAATTCCTGCATTTTAAAAATATCAAGTTCAATTTAGGTCCCAGCTTTATAACACATTTTAGTGTATTGATTTTAATTAATTATCCAGTTCTGAAAATTAATAGCAAATGCTTTACAAAGCAGCATGTTAATAAAATGATCTTAAGTCAGGTAAAACAAATGTTGGTATGTATCCTCTCCCCAAAGTTCAAAATCATAATTTGACTTTTATGATTAAATTAACACCAGTATGTTCACATACTAAATTACTGCTGATGAATTCCTAAAATGAACCTTAAATTAAACAAGAACTAAGTGCAGTTATGTGTACTAAAGAGAGGGAATAGTTCTTTTTCTGTTCCAGTATATGTTTTGACATAAAATAAGACTTTTCGAAAATTACATGCTGATATTTTTTCATATTTTGATCTTATGCCTCAGATGCCAAATTTTGTAAAATTGTACAAATAATCTTGTATTTATTTGCATTTGATGGTTGGCACCAATTCTCAACTTGGTGTGAAGATTAGTTTCACTTAATAAGCTTCTAATTTATATTAACCCTGACTTCTTTTAATTCTTCAGTCAATGAACCACGTATTGATTTTGTAGGAAATTTAAAGATTAACTTATTCATTATGTAGTTTAATGGCAAAAGTAGTTAAAATGCCAGAGAAATAATTAAACGTTAGTTTAGAGAAAAAATATAGTGTTCTGTTGTGTAGAGAAGTTTAACTCAATGTCCTTCAGATCTTACTAAACTCACAAGTAAGTTATTGCTTGAGGCTGAGTTACAGTGACAAAGTCTGGAGAAGATTACTGTAACCTTTTTATCAAACTCTTTAAATAAACTCTGAAGATGTGCTCTTTCTCTTGTGCTATACAGTAAACCCCACCACTTCTGGTTATTTAAAATAACATAAAATTGAAAATTTAAATTCAAGTAATGTAGTCTGAGACTATACGCAAAACTGTCAAGCTGGCTCAAGTTATCAACAGCGTATATTTAAACGTTGGCTAGCAAAATAACTGAAGCTGGAATGAACTTGGACAGAGCTGATGATAGTATGCAACAAACTGGAAGGAAGGTTGCAAAAGCTCTATTCTAAAACATTCAAATCATCAGCCTAAATATTCAATCTGCTAATTTTCATTCTGGTGAGGACTACTGAAAGAAAAAGTTGTATTCAAGTTTCAGATCATAATAACTGGTTAATTAATTAACATAAAATCCTGTTTTCCCCAACCAGAATTTAAACAAATCAAAAACAAAGGTCTTAAATGACCTTCGATAAGATTTTAAATTCTGAAATCTAAATACATGAGCCAGCTGTTATAAAAACTCATTTGAGTTTTTATGGTTAAATTTACATTCTACAAAATTTCTTTTGAGTTTACATATATAGATCCATAGCAGATTTTTCTCTTATCTCCTTTCATAATTCTGGAAGGAAAAGTATTTAAGCTACAAAATATGCACGCGCAAGAATAACATTTAATAATTCACATTTTCTCTCTTAAACTCTTTCTCGCCTTGTTCTCCAGCTGTGTGTTGGGTGAAATAGTTTGTGCATATTGAAATGTTTCAACTATTATATATTAACCAACTTCATAGTTGGAAAGATTACACACACTGGACCTCAATGACACCATATTTCAAAATCTATACCTAATGTTCTAGACTTAAATTTCATTTAACTTTATAAGTTTTGATTGTAGAGCCTAACTTTAAATCAGTTCATTACCCTAAGCTAGCTTTTATACATGCTGCCAAACGCACATTTTGCTTGTACACTACATTAGTTCTTTGGTGGTCGTGTGCTTAATGCATGATATAATTAAAGAAAATAAGAGTAGACAATCTCCTATAGCAAAAGAATATATTAAGTACTAAATTACAATTTAAATTACATTGCAGAGATCAACACAGAGCTCGGAAACACAAGTTCATGCTACCGTCGTAGGTACACTTGTCTCGACGAGAAGTCTGAGTGAGTAAATGACGTCGCTTTGCTGCTCCGATTAAGAACTGGATTTTACACGTGGCGCCATCTCATGAATAGAAGTTGAAGTATCTGTCGGAACGCCACAGTACTCCCCCCCCCCAAGTACCATCGGTACGTTATAAGTACTTTGGGTTAAATTTAACCTTTCTTCCAGATCTGGTAGTTTTTAGGTTGCTCTTTAACGGGATGTAAGCTTTCTTCTGGGAGTGATGTTGATGAGGAAGTTGTTGGATCTTGCATTAAAAATGCTGGTTTGAGATGATCGATTCCAATCACTGATTGTTTGCCATTGCAGATGATGGTGAAATGTCTCGGTGTTCGTTTGACAACTTTGAATGGACCATCATATGAAGGTGTTAAAGTTGGCTTAATTGCATCGTTGCGCACGAAGATGTCTCAAGCGCAGGATGTACAAAATAGCTTGGCTGGTTATGCGAAGATGCTGGGGTTGGCGAGATATTGCTCATGGTCTCACGTAAACGTTGAAGGAATGTTGGAGGGTCGATAACTGGAGTAGATTCTGGGTGAAAGAATTCACCTGGCAGACGGAGGGTTGCACCATATAACATTTCAGCACAAGTGCTACCAATGTCTTCTTTGAATGCTGTGCGAAGACCAAGCAAGACTAGGGATAAGGCTTCTGTCCAGTGTGTGCTACTGTGGCACTTCAGACCTTGTTTGAGAGAGGTCGGTGAAGCGTGAAAGCGTTCCACCATCCCATTTCCAGATGGATGGTATGGTGTTGTGCGAATATGGCGAATGCCAAGAAGAGAGGTGAGGGATGCGAACAAGTGACATTGAAATTGTCGGCCTTGGTCAGTAGTGATGGTGATAGGCATGCCAAATCTTGAAAGCCACTGGGAGATGAATGCTCGAGCTACAATTTCAGCGGATATATTTTCAATAGGAATGGCTTCAGGCCATCTTGTGTACCGATCAATACAAGTGAGGAGGTAAGTGTAACCATTTGAAGGCGGTAATGGGCCAACCAAGTCTAAGTGCACATGATCAAAGCGTCTTGCTGGAAGGTTAAATTGTTGAATGGGGGCTGTGAGTGTGACGGGATATTTTACACTGTTGACATCTAATACATGAACGAGTCCATTCTGTGATGTCTTGATTCATTGCTGGCCAGACAAATCTGTCTGCGATCAGCTTTTTGGTGGCACGGATTCCAGGATGTGCCAAATTGTGCAAGGCATTAAACACTTCACGTCTAAAATTGACAAGAATATAGGGACATATTCTATTGTTGTCTATGTCACAGTAAATTTTAAGCGTTGGATCAATGTGCAGTGGTTGTAACTGAAGGGAGGTTTGTGGATTTGAGATTGGGTTCTTGAGTTCCTCATCATGCAATTGAGCTTTTGCAATTTCAGAGAAATCTGGGGTAGTGAGGTTGATATTGTTTACCCGAGACAAGGCATCAGCGACACAATTATCAGTACCAGAGACATATCTGATATCTGTACTAAACTGGGCGATGAAATCCAGATGTCGAAGCGAAGCTGACGAGGAGAACATGAGTCAGAGTTTTTTCTAAAAGCGAAGGTTAATGGTCGATGATTGGTGAAAATGATGAAGTCGTGTCCTTCCAAATTGTGCCGGAAGTATTTAACAGCACAGTACACAGCAAGTAGCTCCCTGTCATATGTGCTGTATTTCCTTTCTGCAGTATTAAGTTTTCTGGAGAAGAATGCCATTGGGGAAAGTCCTTTAGTGTTATGGGCTTGAAGCACTGCTCCAATGGCCGTGTCAGATGCATCTACCATTATCGAGAGCTGATCACTAGGTGAGTGATAAGAAAGTGTGGCTGCATTTGCCAGATCGTGTTTGCATTGCACGAATGCTGCAGATGCAGATTCAGTCCAGAAGGACAGCTCGTTGATCTCTTTCTTTTTTTTTTTTTTTTTTTTTTGCTATTCTTTCAGAAACTCATGTAGGCAGGCTTGTGTTTTTGCAGCATTTGGCAGGAAGAAAGCGTCGGTAGAAATTTAACATTGCTAGAAAACGCTTCAGTTCAGAGATGGTTTTGGGCTGAGGTAGGTCGTTAATTGCTTTGACTCTTTCCGGTAAAGGTTTTGACTCCATTCTGGGTGATAAGACATCCAAGAAAGGAAACTGAGGGTTGACCAAGTACACATTTTGGATGGATTTAGTTTTAATCCATGATCTTTAAGGCGAGTGAAAATCTGACGCAGATGTTGAAAATGTTCTTCCGCATCTGTAGATGCAACCAGGATATCATCAAAATATGGGATGCAGAAATCAGAAATCGAGGAATAGACAGTACTTGGTGTATGAAACGCTAAAATGTTTGGCCAGCATTGCAAAGGCCAAATGGCATATATAAGTACTCAAAGAGACCAAATGGTGTAGTCACTGCGGTCTTGGGCACATCTTCAGCATGCACTGGGATCTGATGATATGCTCTGGCAAGATCAAGGGTAGAAAATATGTTTGTTCCATGAAAAAGATGGGTACAGTCTTGGATATGTGGGATTGGATATCTGTCAGGGACTGTGACGGCATTAAGTCGACGCTAATCTCCACAAGGCCGCCAGTCACCATTAGACTTTTTAACCATGTGAAGTGGACTGGCCCATGGACTTTTAGATGGGCGAATGGTTCCCTGTGC